GTAACGAAATTGTCAAGGAATATTAAATGTTTTTAAACAGATTATTAATACAGTAACTCACATTATTCTAGTTTTATAGACAAAATATAAGAGCTTATGAATTGGACGAGGACGCTTATATATGTTTACATGAAAAGTATATACAAAACTTAATGAATCGTACAATATCGAGTATTATATTAGAATTATATAAACTGAATTGCAAAGTTAAAATTATTTATTTAAAGTATATCAGTAAGCTTTAGAACTTTAGCCAGAATTAATTAATTAGTTTAGTCCCTTTTTTATTTTATTTTTAGTTTGTTCATGAATAGAGTTTCCTTTTTTCTTTCATTTTTAATTTGATCGTCAGTATAGTCCTTTTTTAATTTTATTTTTAGTTTTGCTTGTCAGTAGGGTCCATTTTTAATTTTCTATTTCTTTTTGATCGTCAGTAGAGTCCCTTTGTCAATTTAATTTTTAATTTGATTATCCGTAGAGTCCCTTTTTCATTCTCTTTTTAGTTTTGATCGTCAGTAGAGTCCCTTTTTTCTTTCATTTCTAATTTGATCGTCAGTAGAGTCCTGTTTTAATTTTATTTTTGTTTTGCTTGTCAGTAGAGTCCCTTTTTAATTTTGTGTTTAGTTTTGCTTGTCAGTAGAATCTTTTTTTAATTCCATTTCTAATTTGATCGTCAGTAAAGTCTCTTTTTAATTTTTTGTTAGTTTTGCTTGTCAGTAGAGTCCCTTTTTTCTTTCATTTTTAGTTTTGATCGTCCGTAGAGTCCCCTTTTCAATTTTATATTCAGTTTTGCTTGTCAGTAGCGTCCTTTTTAAATTTTACTTTTAATTTGATAGTCAGTAGAGTCCCTTTTTAATTTTTAATTTGATCGTCAATTTGTCTTTTTTTTAATTTGCAGGTTACTCGCCAGTAGAGTCCTTTTTTAATTTTATCTTTAATTTGATCGTTTTTAATTTTCTTTTTCTCTTTAATCTTCCGTTGAGTTCCTTTTCAATTGTATTTTTCTTTTTGATCGTCAGTAGAGTCCCTTTTTCAAATTTTATTTTTAGTTTGTTCATTAGTAGAGTTTCTCTTTAATTTTTAATTTGCTCAAAAATAGAGTTTGTTTTTCTTTTAATTTTAGTTTTGCTTGTCAGTAAAGTTATGTTTTTTTTTCATTTTTAATTTGATTGTCAGTAGTTTCATTTTTAATTTTATTTGTAATTTATTTTTAATTTGATCGCCACTAAAATTTCTTTTTCGTTAATTTTTAGTTTTGCTTAACAATAGAGTTCTTTTTTCACTTTTGCTCGTCAGTAGAGTCCTTTTCTTTGAATTTGTAGTTTGATCCTCAGTAGTTAATATTAAAAACTAGTGCCTTAAGGCAAATTGAGGGAACTTCTCAGTTCTCTCAAAAACTGTCTTATTTTGTACATTCAGCTCCGTCTTTCCGAAACGGCTAGACCTGCCTCTGACAGAAACTAACCACCAAATCTCCCTATCCTTGCACATTTAAGGTTTCATCATTCAAATCGGATGCTCCGTTCTCTCAACAACTCGATTTATATTTCACACTCTTTGCTCCATATCACCGAAACAACTGGACCTGCCTTTGCCAAAAACTAATCAGCACATCTCTCTATAGGAATCGAATAGTAAATGAATTATTCAAATCGGTTGATCCGTAAAACGTAGACGAAAAATTGTATCCACACATAAACACATCAATTTTTTTTGAGGTATGCCAAAATGTTCAGAAACCTCTAAAACGTTAAGAAATTTTCAATTGGGCGATTACAATAACTTACCCTACGGGAAGTTAATAAAATATGTTGGATAGCGATTTAGCGATTGTAAATTTTATATTTTCAGGAACGGTGGTTACGAGAGCTCGCCTTTGATGGGCAAATATTGTGGAAATGATATTCCCTTAACCATAAGCTCACTTAGCAATCAGTTGTATTTGAAGTTCCATTCCGATATGTCGAAGAGTAGTGAAGGATTTGTCATTAGTTGGGATGGCACATCCTCTGGTAAATTTGAAATATTATTTTATTACCTAACGCCAGCTTTTTATTATTTTTTTTTATTTTAGGTTGTGGTGGTTCTTTGAGTTCAGCCAAGGGCAGCATAATATCTCCTCATTACCCTCAACCTTATGGCCGAAACGCTGATTGCACTTGGAGGATATCAGGACCGGCAGGTTCCCATGTGCAAGTTGTCATAATGGATTTGGATTTGGAAAGTCATCATAATTGCAATTTTGATTATCTGGAGGTAAGATTTATAACATACAGACAATGACAATGTCTATCTATTTGCCGTGCGATCAGGCGCATTTTACATATAAACAAGCAGGGATGAATGTTATGATAACAGAATTTTGTACAGTGCATTTTTATGATTTTATGTTAATTATACATTCCTTAATACTGTGAATAGATCATTTGATAATGCAAACACGGTAATTAATAACAGAACGATTTCATTATTTGTTTTTCTTTGATATTATATATGATATTGCACTTTAATGCTCTTTTTACAAAATAATACGATCAGGCGTATTTTACACATAATATATATATATATATATATATATATATATATATAAGATTAACTAAACCATTTTTATTTGAACTAAATATTATATTCAAAAATATGCAGGTGTACATTCCATTTTAATACATCCAAACTAAGAAATGCATTGAATAACATTATTATGCGCATTGAATAACATTATTATTGAATAACATTAAAATGCGCCTGACTGCACGGCAAATAAATAGACGTCTTCATAATTTTAATTAATACCAAGAACAAGTATAAGAGAGCGTTCTCATTAATTTGCTTGCTAGTAGAGTCCTAATTTTATCTTCTAGATTGCTCATTTTTTGTCAGTAGAGTCCTTTTTTGTTTTCTAGATTTACAATTTATTTGCTTGTCAGTAGAGTCCTTTTTTATCTTCTAAATTTATAATTAATTTACTCGTCAGTAGAGTCCTTTTTTATCTTTTAGATTTATAATTAATTCACTCGTCAGTAGAGTCCTTTTTTTATCTTTTAGATTTATAATTTATTTGCTTGTCAGTAGAGTCTTATATTGGGTCTCCCATACTGCTAATAAATTTGTTAGCATTTGTTAATATTTTTTCTTTGTCTTTTTATAATTAACTTGCTCGTTAGTAGTTTCCTATTTTTATTTTTTAAGTTTCTAATTAATTTGCTCGTTAGTAAAGTTCTTTTTTGTCTTTTTTTTCTATAGAATCCTATTTCCATCTTGCAAGCTGCTAATTAATTTGCCTGTCCGTAGACTTCTTTTTTATCTTCTAGATTTTTAATTTATTTGCTCGTCAGTAGAGTCCTATTTTTGTCTTCTAGATTTATAATTTATTTGCTCATCAGTAGAGTCCCTTTTTAATCTTCTAGATTTATAATTTATTTGCTTGTCAGTAGAGTCCTTTTTTATCTTCTAGATTTATAATTTATTTGCTCGTCAGTAAAGTCCTTTTTTATCTTCTAGTTTTATAATTTATTTGCTTGTCAGTAGAGTCCTTTTATTATTTTTTAGATTTATAATTTATTTGCTCGTCAGTAGAGTCCTTTTATTAGCTTTTAGATTTATAATTTATTTGTTTGTCAGTAGAGTCTTTTTTGGTCTTCTAGATTTATAATTTATTTGCTTGTCAGTAGAGTCCTTTTTTATCTTCTAGATTTATAATTTATTTGCTCGTCAGTAGAGTCCTTTTTTAATCTTTTAGATTTATAATTTATTTGCTTGTCAGTAGAGTCCTATTTTTGTCTTCTAGATTTATAATTTATTTGTTTGTTAGTAGAGTCCTTTCTATTTTTACATTAATTTGCTCATTAGTAGAGTCCTTTCTTTTTTTATTTTAATTTGCTCGTCAGTAGAGTCTTTTTATTCACTTTACTTTGCTCGTCAGTAGAATCCTTTCTATTTTCACATTAATTTGCTCGTGAGTAGCGTCCCTTCTATTTTTTATTTTAATTTGCTCGTCAGTAAAGTCCTTTCTTCCTTTATTTTAAATTGCTAGCAAAGAGAAACTCTACTGACGAGCACATTTAAGTGAAAAAAAAACGAACTCTACTAACAAAATATCAAAGAACAAATTTAAAACATCAAAACAAATATTAAGAGAACAAATTTGAAAAGAATAAAAACTATAATTGTATGAACAAAATTCAGAACAAAAAAAAGAAATAAATAACAACAAATTTTAAAAATTGCAAAACATATCAAGAAATAAAATATTAGTGAAACAAAACCAACAGAGTACAAAATTTTAAAGAAAAAAACTTATTCACCATCTAGAATTCTGTTATCATAACATTCTTCCTTGCTTGTTTATATGTAAAATACGCCTGATCGCACGGCAAATAGATAGACATTTTTAACTTTCCCGGTAAATTTTAAGTAGGATTAAAACCAACTGTTTCCTTTATAGTTCTTTGACGGTTTGGATATGACTTCAGAAAAATTGGGCAGATACTGCAGTTCAACAGATTATCCAAATGTCATCGATTTTACTGGAAATCACGCTTTTATCAGAATGAGATCTGATCCTAGCACCGAAGGACGTGGATTTATGTTGACTTATAGCTCAGGTAATAAAAGACTTATAATAAAAGTCTACTACAATTCTAATTATTTTGTTGTTTTAGTGTGTAATAATGTATTGACTGGATATCGTGGTGTGATTGAAAGTGCCAATTTCCCATCGAATTATCCACCAGATCAAGATTGCACTTGGCATATAAATGCACCCATTGGCAATAAGATAAATGTGACTTTTTCGCATTTTGATTTGGAGGACTCACCAAGTTATTCTAGGAATATAGATTCGACGTGCAATTATGATTATTTGGAGGTAAGGAAAAGATAATTATCCAATTTTTGATGTTGATACAATTATTTATTCTGCTTTCCGAGCCCTTTCAAATGATATATCACATGCAAATTAGTGTTCGAGATTTTCCTTGAGGCAAGTTGCACTTTTGGTTAATATGAATTTCAAGGGAATTAAGGTAAATGACGATATAATTTCAATAACAAATACTAAATTCGTATTCTGCTCTTCGAGACCTTTCAAATGATATATCACATGCAAATTAGTGTTTGGGATTTGCCTTGAGGCAAGTTGCACTTTAGGTTAATACGAATTTCAAGATAATTTTATTACACGACATAATTAAATTAAAAACAATTATTGAATTCGTGTTCTGCTTTTCGAGCCCTTTCAAATGATATGTCACATGCAAATTGGTGTTCGAGATTTGCCTTAAGGCAAGTTGCACTTTTGGTTAATATGAATTTCAAAAGAATTGTGGTGCACGATGATATAAAATCAAAAACAAGTACAAAACTTGTATTCTCCTCGTCGAGCTTTTTCAAATGATATATCACATGCAAGTTAGTGTTTGGGATTTGCCTTAAGGCAAGTTGCACTTTTAATTAATACGAAATTGAACCATAATTATATTACATAGTGATATAAAATTAGCAACAAATACTAAATTCATATTCTGCTCCTCGAGCCCTTTCAAATGACATATCACATGCAAATTAGTGTTGATAAATTTATTTTTTCAAGATAAAAGATGCTGGAGAAGAGCACGACTCGCCCCAAACTCTCCGAGGCAGATATTGTGGAAGCGAGTTACCACCTAAAATCACCAGTTTATCATCTAATTTGTTCATCAAATTCAAGTCAGATTCTCTTTTGGCATCTTCAGGATTTCGTCTGGAATGGGTTGTCCATGGTAAAGTATTTAACATCAAAGCATTTGCCACATTAGCAATTTGCCCTTCATCATCCCATTCTTCCATCCATCCATTGTCGTCACAATATATTATAAAATTAATTAAAACAAATATCAGATTCGAATTCTGCTCTTAGAGAGCTTTTAAATGATATATCACATGCAATTTAGTGTTCGAGATTTGCCTTTAGGCAAGTTGCTCTTGCAGTTAATATGAATTTTACTAGATTTATCGCGCATGATGATAAAAAATTAGCAGCAAATACTAAATTCGTATTCTACTCTCTGAGCCCTTTCAAATGATATATCACATGCAAATTAGTGTTCGAGATTTTCCTTAAGGCAAGTTGCACTTTCAGTTAATATGAACTTTGAGGAAAATTAAGTTACACGTTGATGACAATAAGCAACAAATACTAAATTCGTATTCTGCTCTTCAAGACCATTCAAATGATATATAACATGCATAAATTTGTATCAAAAATGCCTATTGGCAAGTTTTTGTTTTTAAAGATTTATTTATTTCATTCATATTAGATTATACATATATACGAGGTCTGTTCAAAAAGTACCCGGAATTTTCGTTTTTTCAAAAAAATATTTATTTATTCGTCTACATTAATGTGGTCCCCTTCAAAGTAGTCCCCCCCAGATATAATACACTTATGCCAGCGTTTTTTCCAATTTTCGAAGCACCCTTGATATTCACTTTTTGATATGTCCTTGAGCACTCTCGGCGATTCGGCCTTTATTTCTTCAATCGAGGAAAACCGCCGTCCTTTCATGGGTCTCTTCAACTTTGGGAATAGGAAAAAGTCACACGGAGCCATATCTGGTTTGGCTCTGGAATTTTTGCACTTTGCAACACTTTATTTCATTTTTTACGCAAAATTTAATACAAATTCTTTGACTTTTTCAATTCTTCCATTGTAAAAATCGCCGAGCTCAGAAAAACACGTCGAACCTTAGCGACTACCACAGACAAAGTAAACAGTGAATATAGCTGAAAATTTCATCATACTTTAGGGGCATGTATACCAACACAATAAAAAAAAAAATTTTGACAATCAGACTCTCCAGACCCGCGAAATTTAATTATTAGTAATTCCGGGTACTTTTTGAACACACCTCGTATTTCTATACAATTTATATAATCATGTATAACTATCCTAAGATATAAAAACATAAACTTATATTCAATACTAAAATATATTATTATATTAAATACTAATAAAAAGTAAATTAACTTATAAATAAATTTTTAATCCTGGGAAAAATAATCACTAAAAACCATATTTACAATAATAATAACAAAATAATACATATTACATATATGAATGGAAAATAGTCAAAAGACTAATGACACGTGCCGTAGGGATAGTTTAATATTATTTTGATCTCTGCCATATTTTATACTTGATTATCTTTTTATTGATGATGGTACCTATTGGCAAGTTGCACTTTTAGTTAATATGAATTTCAAGAGAATTGTCATACAAGATGGTATAAAATTAAAAACAAATACTAAATTCGTATTCTAATCTTCGAGCCCTTTCAAATGATATATCACATGCATAAATCTGTACCAAAAATGCCTATTGGCAAGTTGCTCTTCATCATCCCATTCTTCCATCCATTTATTGGCGCCAGAACGTATTATAAAATTAACTCTAAATTCGTATTCTGCTCTTCGAGCTCTTTCAAATGATATATCGCATGCAAATTAGTGTTCAGGATTTGCCTTGAGGCAAGTTGCATTTTCGGTTAATACGAATTTGATCACAATTATGTAATATGACAGTGTAAAATTAATAACAAGTACTAAATTCGTATTCTTCTCGTCGAGTCCTTTCAAATGATATATCACATGCATAAATCTGTACCAAAATTGCCTTTTAGGCAAGTTGCCTTTCATCATCCCATTCTTCCACCCATCCATTGGCGTCACAATATATTATAAAATTAATTAAAACAAATAATAGATTCGTATTCTGCTTTTCGAGCTCTCTGATCTCTTTCTAGGTTGTGGAGGCATTTTAACCAAACCCGAAGGCACAATCCAATCACCAAATTACCCTCATGAATATCCCCACAATGTAGTTTGCGAATGGTTGATCAAAACTGATTTTGGTCAAAGCATACATTTTCAAATGGAGGATGTCGATATGGAAGCGTCATCAAATTGTGCCTTTGATGGAATCACTGTAAGTCAAAACTTTTGTATATTTCAATGTATATTAAAATTATTACATCTTTTTTTATTTTCCATAAAATATTTTTGTGATTTTGGATTCCTTTTCTAAAATACTCGTCAGTAGAATCCCTTTTTGTAATGACATTTTAAATTTGCTCATCAGTGAAGTTCCTTTATTTTATTGACACTTTAATTTGCTTGTTAGTAAAGAACCTTTTTTTTAATATTCTCGTCAGTAAAGTCTCTATTTGTATTGACATCAGTAAAGTTCTTTTTTTCTGTCAACATTTTAATTTGATCGTCAGTAGAGTCCCTTTAATTTTTTTATTTTCCATAAAATATTTTTGTTTAAATTTAAAGTATTTTGGAATAAGAATTCAAAAAATTTCCCAGGCTAAGCACAGTCTAAGCGCCACTCTGGTACAAATGTTTACCTAAGTGCGTTCAGACTGTTTATGTACTGGAGCGCTTTTCAAATTTTGTGAAAACTATTGAAAATGCCGCCAAGCTAAGCACAGTATAGTTGAAAATGTAGCACAGAATTACTTGCAAATGCGTTTAGACTGTGACTATACCGGAGCATTTTTTCAATTTTATGCAAATTAGGCGATTATATATTTTTAACTTCCCTTAGGGTAGTTATAGTAATGGGCCGAAAATCAAAAATGAAAATTTTTGCATTTCTCGACGTTTTGAAGGTTTCTGAACATTTTTAAAGAACATACCTCAGAAACTAAATGGATGTGTGTGTGTGTGTGTGTTTTGTATGTCCGCATTTTTAGTATTAAAAAAAGGACTCTACTGACGAGCAAACTAATCTAGAATTAAAAAGGGATTCTACTGACAAACAAACTAATCTAGTATTAAAAAAGGGACTCTACTGACGAGCAAACTAATCTAGAAATAAAAATGGGACTCTACTGACGAGCAAACTTAATCTAGAATTAAAAATGGGACTCTACTGACGAACAAACTAATCTAGTAATAAAAAAGGGACTCTACTGACGGGCAAACGAATCTGGAATTAATAAAAGGACTCTACTTATATATTTTAATATATAAAAGGGGACTCTACTGACGAGCAGACGAGTATTTCAGTTTGCTCGTCAGTTCATATAATGCAAAATATAGTTTGCATGTCAGTAGAGTCCTTTTTATTTTCTTCATGTCTGGTAAAATACAGTTGATGATGAAAAATACTAAATACAAAAATGCAAAAATGACCCAGGCTAAGCACAGTCTAAGGCCACTCTAGTACAAATGTTTACCCAAGTACGTTTAGACTGTTTGTGCACTGGAGCACTTTTCCAATTTTGTGAAAACTATACATAAATGTGAAAATGCCGCCAAGCTTAGCACGGTATAAGTGAATGTCGCACAGAATTATTTGCAAATGCGTTTAGACTGTGACTATGCGGGAGCACTTTTTCATTTTGTCTAAATTTTGACAACTATTTTTTTGACATTGAATTCCTTAATAACTAATTTATCTGTTACCTTTTAGGTCTACGATGGTAAAACTGTAAATTCCTCCCAACTTATCTATCCATTCCCAAGGCATACTCCTTCAAAAAACACTACTTCTGCAGCTACCAGGTCCAATGGTAACTACTTGCTGGTGAGATTTTTTGCTGATAGTTCGTTCAGTGGGAAAGGTTTTAAGGCTTCGTACAAAACTGTACCAGGACTGAGTAATAGTAATAGTGATGATATCAAACAAAGAGAATTAACCCGTTTCACTCGCGAATTGCAAAATTATATGTATTTTGCCCCCGCAGCGCGGTATCTCAGTGGAAAGGGTTAAGTTACATGATGGTATAAAATTAATGCAAATGCTGAATTCGTATTCGCTTTTTAAGACCTTTCAAATGATATGTCACATGCAAATTAGTGTTCGGGATTTGCCTTGAGGCAAGTTGCACTTTTGGTTAATGCGAAATTTAAAGGAATTAAGTTAAATAATGATATAAAATCAAAAACAAATACTAAATTCGGATTCTGTTCTTCGAGCCTTTTCAAATGATATGTCACATACTGAATATTATTAGTCACACGCAAAATTAGTGTTCGGGATTTGCCTTGCGGCAAGTTGCACCTCAGTCAATATGAATTTCCAAAGAATTTAATTACACAATGATATAAAATCAAAAACAATTACTAAATTCGTGTCTGCTCTTTGAGTTCTTTCAAATGATATGTCACATGCAAATTCGTGTTCGGGATTTGCCTTGAGGCAAGTTGACCTATTGTTTCATCTTGCGACTGTCTCTCATGTCTATTACTCGGACAATATTTATTATTTTAAGCTATTTATTGTGACACATTATCAAAAATTGATATAATTAAAATAAAATAAGACATTCTTAAGTAAATCCTTAATTTAAAAAAAAAGTGCGCGTAAGGTTCACACGCGATTGAAGTAAAATTTATTTGCTATACTACTATACTACAAGATGAAAAATAAAAAAGTAACGTAGTTTAATTAATCTTGATTTAATAAAAAATTAATTAGAAATTATATCTATATTATTCGTAAATAAAAAGGGACTCTACTAACGACCAAACTGAAAATGAAAAGAGAGCAGACTCACTACTACTGACGAGCAAAATAAAAATAAAATTCAAAGAGACTCTACTGGCGAGCAATCTAAAAATAACATTGGAAAGGACTCTACTGACGAACAAAACTAAAAATAAAAGAAAAATAAACTCTACTGATAATTGAATTAAAAATGGAAGAAAATGGGACTCTACTGACGAGCAAAATAAAAATAAAAATTCAAAGAGACTCTACTGATGATTAAATTAAAAATTAAAGAAAAATGGACTCTACTGACGAGCAATCTAAAAATAACATTAAAAAGGGACTCTACTGACGAGCAAAACTAAAAATAAAATCAAAAATGAACTTGTAGTTTCTATAAATCTTTGAAGTTATTAAAATAGAAAATATTTTTTAGGCAAGACAGATATTACAGTTGTTCAAAGAATGAGATTATATCGCCAGCGAAAAAGTTAAAAAAATACAAGCAGTCAATGAATGTATGCTAATTTTAATTACATGAAGATCTTCAAACACAATTATTACATCATCAGTAAATAATATTTGTTTAGGCGTTGCTTAACATAATCCACTATTATAGAAGTTATTAATCAGCAATTACTTCATTTTTCTAATAAAGGTTCATTTCTAAATGCTAATTACAATGACAAACCGATCATGTCGCATTTGAAGTATCACTTAAATTACATTATTCTTTTTAAATATTATACATATTTTGAATGCTAGTATAAACATATAATTTATAATTTATCATTATATAAATGTGTATAATGATTGACGACACTAATAAATGTGTGCATCACACGAGTGTTACCATATTACTAATAAACATTATTTAAAATTGTTATATGATGTATTTATTTTTGACTTAAATGCCATCTTGTACAGTAGCAAATAAGTTTTACTTCAATCGCGTGTGAACTTTTTATTTATATTTTATGTTTCAATTACCTACCAGGTTGTGGTGGCAGACTGGTTGGCCACGATGGATTTTTATATTCGCCAAACTACCCTAAAAATTATGCAACAAATGAAGACTGCAAATGGATAATTGAAGTGCATCCTAGTCATGTAGCAGCCATCAATTTCTTAGATTTTGATTTGGAATCGTACATGAACTGCACTTCTGATTTTGTTAAGGTAAGAGACTAAAAAAATTGCATAATTGCGTTCACAATTATTTTTGAAGTAAAACTTCTTTAGGCGCGGCATGGGTTAGCAGTATAATTCGTGAGTTAATAAAAATGTCAGGATCGGAAGAATATTTTATCCCGTCCCCCATAAATAATTGTAGTGCAAATGATCGCAAATAAATAATGAAACTAAGGAAAAATCTGCGCTGCGTAAGAAATGATAGCTTTGGCTATATGTTTTGTGTGTGATCGACTTTGGCTTCAAAGTAGCTTAGAAATATCAAATGATGCTCAAAAACAAATTCTTAATAATGTTTTTTTTAATATTGATTCAAATAATCAGGTTGGATGTCAAACTTGTCGAAAGGCATTAAATTCGGGTAAAATTCCCACTTTGTGTAAATTTAACGGGTTTGTATTTCCACCTATACCAAATTATCTACCTAAACTAGATACTGTATCTGAAAGGTTAATTAATTCATAGATCAAGCTATGTGCAGGGCTTAATAAATAAAACAAATATAAAAGTATGGCTTCAATTTGTTAGGCAAGACGGATATTACAGCTGTTCGAGGAATGAGATTATATCGTCAGCGAAAAAGTAAAAAAATACAAACAGTAAATGAATGTATGTTAATTTTAATTACATGAAGCTCTTCAAACACAATTGTTACAGGATGAGTTAATTTGCAAAAACAATATTTGTTTAGGCGTTGTTTAACATAATCCACTGTGTGAAGGAATATTATAGAATTTATTAATCAGCAATTACTTTAAAACGATCATGACATATTTCAAGTTTCAAGACTTTGATTACATTATTGTTTGTAAATATTATGCATATTTTTAATGCAATCATAAATATATAATTTATAGTTTATCATTATATAAATGTGTATAATGATTGACGACACTAATAAATGTGTGCATCACGAGTGTTACCATATTACTAATAAATATTATTTAAAATTGTTATATGATGTATTTATTTTTACTCAACTTAAATTTGCTACTTTATACAGTAGCAAATAATTTTTACTTCAATCGCGTGTGATCCTTACGCGCACTTTTTTTTTCAATTATCCTACTCCTAAATCTAATTGTCTTTTAAATTCGCCTATTCTACTTATGTCCTCTAACTTTAACTTAATTAATAATGAAATAGATATTTAAAACACTTCACCTAATCAAATAATCTCCATCTGCACAAGTTAACCTTTTTATTTTCTTTTCAAACATCTCTTTATTTTATCTTATTCTGTTAATAAATAATATTGTTACAATCTGCATTATATGTAATTTTATGTTAAGCATTTTATGTTAATAACTATATATTGTAATTTTGTATATATTTTAATTGTTATTCATTATGTAAGATAATAATATTTTTGAGTCCTCTTGGAAGAAATCTGTGGGCTATATATTTAAAATGAATAAATAAATAAATAAATAAATAATAATTGATGCAAGACTGATTGCTTTTTATTTATTATTTTCAGATTTATGATGGCGAAGAAGAAAATCCAGATAAATTACTGATGAACCATTGTGGTAATACCATGCCAAGTCCTACCGCTTACAAAGCAAGTGGTAACACTTTGCTGGTGCATTTTAAGAGTGATCAAATATATACTGCTAAGGGATTCAAGGCAAATTTTTCAACGGTAAGTAGAAAAAACAATAGATTAATAAACCAAAATCGAAAAAAAAATCGTGCCTTAAGGCAAATTGCTCGAACTTCCCGTACCGTAATGAAATATTCGAGAAATTTTAAACGTCTTCAAATACATTATTACAAATACTGTAACTTCCATTATTTTTGCTATCTTTGTTATATCTGAGCAAATCAAATGTAAATCATAAATCAATTCATCTCCAGAACATTAACAATCGTCATTTCATTTCGAATTCAATTTAAAAAAAAAAATGTTGCCTAATTTACTCAAAATTGAAAAAGTGCTCCCGTATAATCACAGTCTAAACGCATTTGCAAATAATTCTATGCGACATTTTCACTTATACTGTGCTTAGCTTGGCGGCATTTTCACATTTTTCAATAGTTTTTCACAAAATTCGAATAATGCTCCAGTACACAAACAGTCTAAACGCACTTGCGAAAACATTTGTACCAGAGTGGCGCTTAGACTGTGCTTAGCCTGGGTAATTTTTTGAATTTTTAATTTGCAGATGAAAAAATAAAAGGGACTCTACTAACGAGCAAATTAAATTTTAATCTAAAAAATACTAGAAAGAGACTCTACTGACAAGCAAATTATTAAAAACAAGATGAAAATGAATGTTCAGTAAAGAAAAAAAGGACTGTACTGAAAAGCAAACTGTATTTCGATCCAAAAAATTAACAAGGGACTCTACTGACGAACGAATTATTATAAATATGAAAGAAGGAAAAGTGAGTCCAATAAAAATGAGATAGTAAAAAAGGACTTTACTGACGAGCAAATTGCTTGTCGACCAAAACAAGAGGACTCTACTGACTACTAAATTAAATTTCAAACTAAAAAAGGGACTCTACTGACAAGCAAATTATTATCAGCCTAGTAGGTAGAAAAAAAGGTCTAGTAAAGATGAAAAAATTAAAAAAGAACTCTACTGACGAGCAAACTGTATGTCGACCAAAAACAAAGAGGACTCTACTTATGAGCAAACTAAATTTCAATTGAAAAAAAAACAAGGGACTCTACTGACTTTCTGCTTGTATTGACAAAACAATTGCTTTTGAGGAAAAAAAATTATTACATATTTTTTTATTTTCTATAAAATATTTTTATAATTTTGGATTAAAAACTTAAAAAATTACCCAGGCTAAGCACAGTCTAAGCGCCACCCTGGTACAAATGTTTACCCAAGTGCGTTTAGACAGTTTTTGTACTAGAGAAATTTTTCAATTTTGTGAAAACTATTTAAAAATGTGAAAATGCCGCCAAGCTAAGCACAGTATAAGTGAAAGTGTCGCACGGAATTATTTGCAAATGTGTTTAAACTGTGACTATATCGGAGCACTTTTTCAATTTTGTGTAAATTAGGCAACTATTTTTTTTTTTTGAAATTGAATTCGAAATGAAATGACGATTATTAATGTTCTGGAGATAAATTGATTGATTTATGATTCACATTTGATTTGCTCAGATATAACAAGATAACAAAAATAATGAAAGTTACAGCATTTGTAATAATATATTTGAAAACGTTTAATATTTCTTGAATATTTCATCGCGTACGGGAAGTTCCAGCAAATTGTCTTAACACACGATGCCACACACTACTAGTTCAAAATTAATATCACATTAAATTCAAATATATACCTTACTCTATCCTTTCACACCGAACTATATAGTCGCTCTCTTCGCTCCAACGCCGAAACGTATAGCTCTATCTCTTTTCCCCACAACGCAATATCTTGCATCTCCCTCAGTAACTAAATATTATTTTTATTTTTTATTTAGGCTTGCGGTGCAAGAATAGTAACCAACAGTTCAGGCGTATTAGAACCATTGGCACAACTCTCTAATATAGGCAATAATTGCACGTGGATAATCCAGGCTTCTGATCCTGCCCAGAAGGTTACAGTTATCATAACTAATTTTAGAGTTATGAATTACTTTGAAACTGATGATGGAAATTGCACGGAGAACTACTTCAAGGTAATAAAAAGTCTTATGAATATATATATATATATATATATATATATATATATATATATCTTGAGGATTTTTTGTTCGACATGGAAACATATTGAATTAAATAAAACAGCCAATGCGTCCAATGTAGATAGTCCATTTTAATTTTTTTATACGTTTTGAGACTAGATGTGTTTCATCATTCAGCAGATCAGGAAAAAACACACAATCATTCTACTACTGTAAGAAAACAAAAATAATTTAAGAAAGAACCGAAAAAGGTAAATGTAAAAATGTATAAAACACATAATTATTTGTTTCTAACAAAGATAGCACAAGCACAGTCAGCCGTCGTCTTTATTCAATTCAATATATATATATATATATATATATATATATATATATCTGATTTTAATTTTTTATCTTGTTTAGGTGTTTGAAGGTGATTCTATTGAAGGTCCTTTGCTCGGACACTATTGTGGAAATAAAATTCCACCAAGTATCACCAGCCAGGGTAATGCTTTGACTATTGTTAAGGGAACCGAAGGATATTTTCCAATTTATAGGACGTTCTCGTTGACGTATTCAGTTTTGGATACAGGTAAAGTAATAAACTTAATGTGTAAAAATATCTATTTAGTTGCCGTGCGATCAGGCGTATTTTACATGCAAACAAGCAAGGAAGAATGTTATGAGAACAGAATTCCACATGGTGCAATTATCATAAGATTTTTTCTTTAAAATTTTGTGTTCTACTGGTTTTGTTTTAATAATATTTTATTTCTTGATATGCTTTGCAATTTTTTTAAATTTGTTTTTATTTATTTCTTGTTCTGAATTTTGTTCATACAATCATAATATTCATTCTTTTGAATTTTGTTCTCTTATTATTTATTTTGATGTTTTAAATTTTGTTCTTTGATATTTTTTCAGTAGAGTTCTTTTTTCTTCCACTTTAATTTGCTCGTTAGTAGCAAAGTCTTAGTGAAATAAAATAAAAAAGAACTCTACTGATTTTAAGTTGCTCGTCGGTAGAGTCCTTTCTTTTTTTTTAATTTGCTCGTCAGTAGAGTCCTTTTTTCTTTTTAATTTGCTCGTCAGTAAGGTCCATATTTTATTTTAATTTGCTAGTTAGTAGAGTTCTTTTTTATTTTATACCACGTTGCTCGTCAGTAGAATCCTTCCTTTGTTTATTTAAATTTGCTCGTCAGTAGAGTCCTCCTTTTATTTTAATTTGCTCGCTAGTGGAGTCCTTTTTCATTTTAATTTGCTTGTCAGTAGAGTCCTTTTTTCATTTTCATTTGCTTGTCAGTAGAGTCCTTTTTTATTTCAATTTGCTTGTCAGTAAAATCCTTTTTTATTTTAATCTGCTTGTCAGTAGAGTCCTTTCTTCTTTTACTTTAAGTGATTCGTCAGTAGAATTATTTCCTCTTTTACTTTAATTTGCTCGTGAGTAGAGTTCTTCTTTTATTTATTTTAATTTGCTCGTTAGTAGAGTCCTTTCTTCTTTTATTTCAATTTGCTCGTCAGTAGAGTCCTTTTATTATAATTTGCTCGTCAGTAGAGTCCTTCTATTTAAATTAATTTGCTCGTGAGTAGAGTCTTGTTTTATTTTAATTTGCTTGTCAGTAGTGTCTTTTCTTCTTTTACTTTAAGTGATTTGTCAGTAGAATTATTTCCTTTTTTATTTCAATTTGCTCGTTAGTAGAGTCCCTACTGTTACTTTAATTTGTTCTTTTATTTGTAGAATCTTGTTTTGTAGTAGTTTTGTAGAAATATTCACAGTTTCACTAACAAGAAACAAGCATAAGATAACGCTATTTTGCCTGGTAAATTTCAATTCCTATTTCTATTCCTATTTCAGCCTGTGGCGGAACTTTGTTGGCTGCAGAAGGCACTTTTACATCACCAAATTATCCAGGATCGTACCCGAATAATGCAGAATGCGTTTGGATTTTACCCACAAGTCCTGGCAACAAAATCGACGTTGTTATCGAAGTTATGGATATTCAGAAAGAGGACGATTTTTGTAATAATGACTTTTTGGAGATCAGGAAAAATGATGGCGTTGGAGAACTTGTGGGTAAGATTGAAATTATAAACTGAATTTTCTGATTGCTTGATCTTTAACTTGAAAAATGTAAAAATTGATTCCAGAAACCCTTTGTGGAGAACGTACAGATGAATACAGAGTTGTCTCCAGCGAACCCTTGTGGATAAAATTCAGATCTGGCGAAGATGGTACTTCTAAAGGCTTCATGGCACATTTCACTTATGGTAAGATAATCGTGGAAACAATTTATATACACTATTCATCAATCAATTACCTTTCTTTAGTCCATGGTAACGAAATCGTCGGAAACACATCGGGACAAATAGCATCACCAATGTATCCAAATGAATTCATCCTAACTGGTACCTACCATTGGAGAATAATGGTCGATTCTCAACATGTGATATCCATGTCATTCCGAGACTTCTACATAGACGGATATAGTGATTCTGAGTGTCATCTTTATTTAAAGGTACCATTACTACTTATTGTATGAACCAATAAGATATTATAATATTTATAATATTTATATTTATAATATTTATATTTATAATATTTATAATATTTATTTATTTATTTACGGATACAGGAATAGATTTAATAATTACAGAAAATAAATTATCTTAATTGAATTAATTACAGTAAAATACAACTATTAAACAATATTAAGCCTAACATTAGTAATATCTAATACAATAACTTGAAGGAAAAAAAAGTAATAAAATTCAAATAATATAATTGTTGTAGATCTTGAGAGTCTTCTGATGGTAAAAAAAGTCCTTTAAATATCCGTTATGCAATTTTTATTTGAGTCACATATCTGGAAAATAAAAATTAAGAGCAGTATCAAAAAAGAATATATAATATGAAAATAATTGCAATGATAAATTTAAGTATTTTATGTAGGAAAATGTTGAAATAATTTAGAATAAAAATTAGAAAAAGTATCGAAAAGGGAAAAAAATTGTAACTGTTGGAAAAAAATATCAATTATTATCAGTAGGCATTTCATTATCAAAATAACGTTTGATATCGAAATTGGCAAACTCAGAAGTATCGTAGAAACTTTCAGCTTTTAAAAGTTTAACAATAGTATTATGAAATTGACGATCATTCAGTTTCCTAATATGTAGTGGGAGTAGATTAAATAGCTGTACTCCTCTTCCGTCTATGGTATTAAAAGATGTTTTCAGTTTAAAAGTTGGTCCTTTTATAGTCAAATTTCTTGTTTTATAATAGGAATTCAACATGGAGGATAGGTTGAAGCGTTCGGGATTATTCTTTATGAATGACAACGTAATTAGTAAAAATATACAGGGAACAGTGAGAATGTTAAATTGTCGGAAAAGATTCCTACATGAGGACAAGGAACTGAGGGAAAAAATTATTCTTAATGCTCTTTTCTGTATTTTGAATATATCCTTTAAGGACGATGAGAATCCTCAGAATTGTATTCCATAAGCGAGATGCGAATAGAAATTAGAATAATAAATTGAAAGAAGGCAATTTAAACTAACTTTTGATTTAAGAATTCTCAACATGAAACTGGTTTTAGTTAACTTAGGTACAAGTATGGAATGAATATGATTGTCCCAGTTTAAGTTTTTGTGTAATTGGATGCCTAGAAATTTTGAGACTGAGGAAAATTCAAATTTAATGCTATTGATAGTTAAAGAATTGATCTCATGACTTATCCTATTTACTGTTCGGAAAGACATAATTTGGGTTTTGTCATTATTGAGCAAAAGATTATTAGAATTGAACCAATTCGAAATTGACTTCATAACTAGATTTAATTTATTATTTACTTCTTCTAAAGAATTGGTTTTTATAATCACACTAGTGTCGTCGGCAAAAAGAATAAATTTACAGAGATCTGTACATTTTGGCAGATCGTTTATGTAGATGAGAAATAATAATGGTCCGAGAATTGAGCTCTGAGGGACACCGAGCTTAATATTTTGTTTGTCTGAGATAATACTGAACCACGATTTATTATATTTATTATATTTGTATTAGATTTATTATATTTGTATTATAATTATTTATGTTTTAGATCTTTGATGGTTACGACGACAACGCTCCTGAATTGGTGAACGCCTGTGGTGCTCGTGCTCCTGACCCTGTCCAAAGTACCAGTAATGTGGTTTATTTAGAATTGAAGAACGATTGGTATCGTTTAGGATCAAGATTTTTGATCGATTGGACGCAAACTAAAAGAGTTATTCCTGATGCCACTGAACTTGCATCCAACAGTAAGTAGAAACTTACCGACCACATATATCCTTTACCCACAGCATATATCCATTATATTTGTTTTGCAGTTACTGGTTGTGGTTCCAAAGGTAAAGTCCTTGAATTGACACCAGGAGTTATACAAAATCTAACATCACCAGGATTTCCCAATGGTTATGATGCAATGCTGAACTGCGAATGGATATTTTCAGCACCAGAAAGCTTTCATGTTGCCTTCGACTTTTTTGATTTAGATTGGAGCAGAGTGATGACTGCACTTTGGACTATGTCCAAATATCTACTGGTAAGTGATAAACAGATTCAGTTTAATAATTCGGTAATTTTATGTTTCGATTCGGTAATTTTATGTTTACTCGATGTTTTAAGCCATTCTGAATCGAATGGGACCAAATTTGGGAAAAGAATGTGTGATGTGAGTAGAGTTTTGACCTTTCTTAGACGTTTGCTCAAAAACGCCTGAAGTTATTTCAAAAATTCAAAGGCAATTTCATGTATCTTGTTATGGATTACGGTTGTATAATATCATAGACAATTTAATTTAGCACAAATTCGCCGAATATTCCATTCAAATCGGACAAACCGTTCAAAAGTTACAAGAGATATAATAAAAAGCAACTAATGGGTTGCCGAACTCGGCTTTAAACATGTGTTTAAGTTTTACTTCAAATATAGGGATGTTGGGTATCAAATGAAAGGTCTCAACGGGCACTATCCAAATCTACCAATTACGGACTAAAAAAACCTATAGCGTTCTGTACTTTCAAATGCTTTCAAATAATTTTAAATTTAAAGGCAATTCCATGTATCTCAATGAGGATTACTGTTGGACAATATTATAGACAATTTAATTTAGCACAAATTCGCCGAATATTTCATTCAAATCGGACAAACCGTTCAAAAGTTACAAGAGATATAATAAAAAGCCGACTAATGGGTTGCCGAACTCGGCTTTAAACATGTGTTTACAAGTTTTACTTCAAATATAGGCATGTTGGGTATCAAATGAAAGGTCTTGACGAGCACTATTCAAATGAATAGTGAAATGAACCAATTAAGAAATATGAAAATGATTCTTTACAAATAAGAAAAGGACTCTACTGACGAGCAAACTTGAATGACAAATTTTACAAATAAGAATGGGACTTTACTGACGAGCAAACTTGAATGACATCTTCAAAAATAATAAAGGACTCACGATGACGAGCGAACTTAAATGACATCTTTAAAATAAGAAAGGGACTCTACTGACGAGCAAACTTAAATGACATCTTTCGAAATAAGAAAGGGACTCTACTGACGAGCAAACTTGAATGACATCTTTAGTAATAAGAAAAGGACTCTACTGACGAGCAAACTTGAATGACGCTTTTAAAAAAAAGAAAAGGACTCTACTGATGAGCAAACTAATGACATCTTTACAAATAAGAAAGGGACTCTACTGACGAGCAAACTTAAATGACATCTTTCGAAATAAGAAAAGGGACTTTACTGACGAGCAAACTTGAATGACGTCTTTAAAAATAAGAAAAGGACTCTACTGACGAGCAAACTTAAATGACATTTTTAAAAATAAGAAAAGGACTCTACTGACGAGCAAACTTGAATGACATCTTTAAAAATAACAAAGGGACTCTACTGACGAGCAAACTTGAATGACATTTTTAAATAAGAAAGGGACCCTACTGACGAGCAAACTTAAATGACATCTTTAAAAATAAGAAAGGGTACTCTACTGATGAGCAAACTTGAATGACGTCTTTAAAAATAAGAAAGGGACTCTACTGACGAGCAAATTTAATGCCTCATTAAATTTAAAATAATAAGGTACAATTTCAGGGCATACAAGCACTGTAGTGTCTGTGCAATATATTTAAATAATTATAGTTAATTTAAAAGTGTTTGAGAAAATTCTATTCGAAATCGCAATTTTTTTTTGTTTATTTATTTATTTACTTATATA